ATAGACCTTATTGGTATCTCTACCCATCCGTTCTGTGTGAGCTAGCCGGCTCGTCAGACATAGCGCTACGGGCAGACTGCACGCACTGAACCGTGCGCAGCAAAAGTCCAAAAGTTTAAAAGCCTGCCTGAAAGGAAGCTGCAAGTGAATGCATGGTGCTTCCGTTTGACCGAAATACCCCAATATAGATGGCTCCGAGATTGCAGGCAATGATGCTACCAAAGGAGCCAATGGAGTAGTTTCCACTCAAAGCTACCAAGTCGAACAGGCAGAAACCCAGCAACATACTGACCAACTATGACCAACTGATCATCCAATGGATCGACTGACCAACCAACTGATCAACCAAGCAATTTGACCAACCAGCCACACGTGCCTTTTTGCCCGAAAGCCAGGGCGTCCGCAGTTTTGCAGCGATAGCATGGACGTTGCAGCGGAGTTGGGCGTCGGGGTGCCCACGGGATGATGAATAGAGCGAACGGGAGCGGACGGGTTGGTCCAACAGGACACCTGTGTAGCCGGACCAGGAAACAAGCAAATCACGATGTTATTTTTTAAAGACAAGGCCTGGAACCAAACCATCATCATCCACTGGGCCCTGGCAATAGGATAGACCCAAGGAGCTTGGGGCTTGGAGAAGAATCATCTCAAGGCATGCCATCCCCAGAGCTCAGCATGTCATCCCACCCGTGAACTTTGTTGTGCTCATTTAATTGAGTTTGTAACTTAAAGCCTTCCCTTCCATTTGCACCATCACCATCTCTTGCACCCGCCATTCTTGAGTCCTGTATTGTTCAGGAAAGAAGGCCTGAAGACTGCTCTTTTCTAGGAATTGAGCTGTCATGAGCTGTCGTCCATTCTTGAGATCAGAATCTCAGATGGTTCCTTTCTTTTTCGACACATGGCAACAAAATATGGCAAGTGTGAGTTTGACGAGATGGTCTTTGGGAGAAACATCGGCGGTCTCGCACCGCATCTCGTCTCGTCTCACGGCGCGTTGCCGCGCGTCTCTCGTGCTGGTGGTCTCTCTGAGGTGGAAAGGAGCGGTGAATGGAACCTGTGGGCACCTTGGCTGAGTGAAACGGGTGGCTCCCGGCTCGGGAGTTGGAGCTAGAGCTGGCGGAGATGCAGTCTACCGGGTTTTGAGCAGAGGTACCTATGGTGAAATCCGGGCACCTATGGTGAACACAGTGAACACTACTTTCCGATGTATGTAGAATTTGCCACTTTGGGCAAGTGTTTGTGGTGGTGGGCTCATTGGGCACTGTGCGCTTTCTTTTATTGCGTGTGCATTTACTAGGCAAAATGTCCAACCCTCCAGAACGAAGTTCTTGCTTTCCAGCAGCAGTTTTTGGCACCTTTCAATTGCAGAAACCATGTTTTACCTCTTTTTCCTCCTTTGTTTGAGTTTGAGGAAAGTTTGCTGTTTTCATGCGTTCCATTTCCAATACGCAAACCATCTAGTGCAGTTCGTGAAGGCTGGGAAGTCCACTTTCATCCACTTTCAGCATGGCTGGAAGCGCAAAAAATGGGCAGACTTCTCTCAAACGCGGAAGTCCTTAGTGGTCAAAAGCACCTGATGTATCGATCAATGATTGCTTTCAGGCTCGGTACACCAACATCTGTTCTTCCTCTTCTTGTGGTTCCTGCGCATCCTGCCTCCTTTTCTGTCCACCGGTGTTCCATGGTGTTCCCTTTGCATCTGCGGCAGGTCAACGAAGCGGTGGAGCCTTGAGGCAAAACGAGTGTCCGGCTGCGTGGAGCTAGGTGTTTTCGGTGTCCGGCCACCCGGTGAATTGGTTCGTTTGGGCCACCTGATGTTTTTTTGTCCAACGATGTTTTTCCGGGACTCGTTTGAGGTTGGTAGATCATGTCAACTCCAGCTCATGTCAACTGATCTCGCACACGCACACGACGAAATTAGCTTCAACCTGCACTTGAGTCCAAACACTAGAACGCCAGGTGCTGGAAACGAAATGCCCGCCACCCAAGTGTTTGATGACCCCCTCCCTATGCCGAGAAGCTGCAAAAGGAGTCACCGATGAGTGGAGGTTAGCAATTGCTCATTGAACGGTTTCTTGGAAGCTGATCAAGCTGGCCTCCCAGCACGTGAAGTGAAGATATGATGATATGCAAAGCATCCCTTTTGTGCCAACCCCAAGCGAAACAGGTCCGTGTTGCAAACCACACCAGCAAGTCCGCATATACACGGTACCAAAATGTACCAAACGTCACGGTGCCAAAGACCCATGTTGCCCTTGGAAACCCAAGTTGCACACATATAATCACATATATATATATATTATGATCACATGATATGGACATAGTGACCTAGAGCATATGGGCCATGGTATTCGACAGTAGCTGGTTTCAACCTCCCAAAGTAAAGACGATCCCCTAAATAAATGCAAAACAAAGGTCAACGGAAGCTGCAACAGAACAGTCCAAAAAGGCCAAAAGATGGAAAGATCCCTGAGGATCGACCGCCATGGTTGAAGGGATTTGTGATTTGTCCGATGTTTCCGATGTCCTTTGCGTTCAGCCGAAAAACCATATAGAAATTCAATGAGCTTCACGATTTGTTCCAAGCTTTCCTTGCGTTCCAGGCTCTTCCCCCACTCCACCCACTCCCTCTTGGCTCGCACGGAAGTCGGCTCCGGGTCGCGGAGGGTTTCTCGGACGGGGCCGAACGCGGACGCGTGATGGCCATGGGGAGGAGATGTCGAGGAGTGACTCATGACCTTTCCTTTGCTAGTATTTGCAATTCCAATTAAGTTATTCTTGTTACTACTAGTAAGGCACTTGTTACTAGTAGCGATGCACTTGTTCCTAGTAGCAAAGGACTCGTGTTGATCTCTGGGGTCAAGAGGTGAAAGGTCACACGTCATCACGAGTCATCACCGTGTTTAGAGTGAACCATGAGTGAACCATACTGGTGCCACAGACTCTGTATATTATAAGTTGTATAATTGGTTAAGTCTTGTGTTTGCGGCAAATATTATTCTTCTCAAGGTGTTCGGTCTTTGGTCGTGGAGGTGAGGTGGGGGGTTGTTCTTCTGATTGTTGCGCAGCTAACTTCAAAAGCTCGTGTATATTTTCTCAGTTAGATTCCCACTGAATCAGCGAAGACGGAGAATCGGGGCAGCCAGCTCTTTGTTGGGCCGAAGAGCTCCCAAGCCGGGCGAATGGAGCGAAAAATCAGGTCAACGGGAACCGCCCATTCTTACGCCTTGGCTGCGCTTTTGAGGAAGATGGCCATGGGGGATGGGGGACAGCCCCCAAACCAATACAGTGTGGTGCTCCTGAAATTGGACCGTCCTTCACACAGGGGTTCCGCATGCATCATGGCTTACTAACATCTGTGCAGGGTCACGCCGCCACGCCGCCATGCAGGTGACTCTTTGAACGCGTCCACATGCGTCCACATTTCATCAAAAAAGGCTCAAACATATGAAGAGAATCGAAACGTCCCGTCCTCATCAGCAAACATTCACAAATGACATAGCGAGGAGGTGCCAGATTTTCGTCACCTAGCTCCAAGAATCGTTTGGCAGGAACTGCACTGCTGCTCCTGGGACTCGGACTTGGACTCCGGCCAACCTTCATTCACACGGCGGTGCGGAGACTCGGTGTGTGAGGACCGAAGACTGCAGACGAACACATCACGGAAAACCTCCCTGTTCGTAAAGGAAAGTCGTTTGCCAAGGGACCATGTTCGTCCATCTTCCACTTCCATGCTAGTGAAGAGTGTAAATGATGTATACATATACTCCCGTGAAATGTACCGTAGAACACGGGTCTCAAAGCAGATTTTCACAGAAAAGCACCGGTGACCTGGTGGGGAATCAGGAAAGCACCGGTGTCTGGAGAGCCTGTGGTTTGGGACGCTAACCGCTAACACATCCGAAGCAGATGGATTGATGGTTCTTGCACCGAAGCAGATGCTGGAATCTGCCTGATGGCCTTTTTGGTGTGATCTTGCAATGTTCCATTTTTGACTCAAAAGCGTCCAACATTGCCTAAGAATTCCCAGATTTGTTTCCACTGTGCTTTAATACTAACATAGCTCGTCATAGCTCCAAATCTTAAGGACACACACTAGTGGAATGCAGCCACACTAACACAGCACATGGTTTAAAAACAGACGTTAGATTTCACCAAGAGAACATTTGCAAGGTGCTTCCTTTTGGATGATTTGAGGCTTTTTGAAACGATCAATCTTGAAACCTCTTCTCGAATTGATCACCATTGCCAAGTTGTTGCAAGCCTTCCACTTCTTTAAATCTCCTCCAAGGTAAGGGAAAAGCCCAAAACTATCCAAAACTTATCCACTGAAAAATCAACTTGAAACATCTCGCAGTTCAGGGTGTTCCTCTGGCTGTTCTTTTGCATCGCGTTTTCTACCTTCGTCCCCTCCCAAATTGCTGGCCACTTCAGACAAATATTTTAGTTTTTCGCGTGTTTGGGAGCTGGGATGTTTCTTTGTGCGTGGGATAGGGGTCACTGTGCGTCTCAAAAGCTAGTTTCCATACAGCTCATTTGCTACTCACCCGTTCCTCACTGGAGCCCTCCTTCACCACCGCCGAACGTCCAGGCATGGTTGGATTTGGACGATTTGAAGTCTGACAACACGCTGCCATTGGTGACCGACCTGGGTTTGAACCTGGGCCTAGGGCCACAAGGCACGGTCACTCAAACGCTGGCGAAGATCGCGGGGAAGGTCAGAGGGCGGTGAAGATGCGTGTGGCAAGGTAATGAAACCAAGTGTTAGAAGGAGACTCTGATGACATCCCTGGTGGTCCAGTTTGTTCCTTAATTTGGGCCCAACCCACTTTTGCTTCGAGTGTCTAACCGTCGCGACACGAACCCCAAGACCCTGTAGCAAAAAGCGTCCACACGGTCTGTTGCGCATGGGTCACAGCATGCTGTACGTACTCTCCAATATGGGTATGATGTGACCCATACTGTATGTACGTACTCTCCAATAAAGAAAGTCATCGGCTGGGCCATTTGGGGGGCTGAGTAACGATTCTTCCTCACACCAAAAAAGAGGTGAGCCGAAGATAAACAAGAAACATCGGAGATAGAGATGACTACGAACTAAAACACCACCCCATCCTCCGAACTCGCTCCTCCGGTGCTCCTCAACCGACTCGTTCGTCTCCTGCGCCGGAGACGCAGAGGTCTCAATGGAACGTCGGGAAGCTGTAGCGCCACGGCTGCAGAAACCAACCTCCGCATTGACCTAAATTAGCCGGTGGCTAAAGGAGAGAGCCAAGGAGATTGGGGTATTCGTCATACTTCATCAATCTTCATCATATGTCCTTGCTAAACCGGGAGCCAAGGAGATAGAGGAAGTGTCTCAAGCACTTGCCAGTGATTTCCTCATGGGTATTTTTCGTGGTGCTTTGCCTTTGTGCCTTATGTTGGAATAAGAGTTTTAATGAATGTTTTCCTAGTGATAGTCACTTGACCACAATCATTTGATCACGATCAATGTTTCTATCGGCCGGGGACATTCACTTTTGACATATCTCTTCACAGTGGATGAATCGAGTATGCCACCATCTCATTGGATTCAGTCCAGGGACGTCTATATAGGGAATAGATCCTTTTCAATGGGATGCTGATTTTGAAGGGACCTCCATCCTCCTGACCCACATTCTATGGGCTTCTCATGCGATGTCCCAGCTCGGCCCGGCGGACCGCTCTCCGCATCTTCGTCGCGATCCGCCGCGCGACCGCTCGCGCCGAGCGGTCTCGAAGGCTTCATCGCCGACTTCGGCGTGCTGGACCTGCCACTCCTGGGACCGATGCGAAGCCGTGCCGGCTTGAGGCCACTTCTTTCGCGTCGCCTGTTGACCGGCGTGCGGAACGGGTTCGGTGAGAGGCGGGGGGAGGGAAAGCGGTAGTGAAAGTGGTATGCTGGTGGGATGGCGAAGGACCTGAAGTTTCGCGCCGTGAAATGACCCGGATAAGTTCCAAAGCAACAGGCCGAGACTTAAGAAGACCAATCAACTTTTGGCTTTGAGTTCTCAAGCCCAAGAAAGGGAAGAAGTTGGCTTCAGAAAGGGAAGAAGTTGGCCTATCAGCTCTTTATCATGTGTTCGTCTCCTACTTGCTCTCTTTTTTCTTGATCGAACCCACATCCTCGTCCGCGAACCTGTTTTCTCGACTGATCGGTTCGGAACGGACGCCACCTCAGATGCAGCCCCTTGTACCCGCGGGGCGCGCTGGAGTTGGGCTTCCGGAAGGCGGATGCGCTTCGGATGCTGGAGATTCTTAGATTGAGGGCACATACACACACACGGATAATATGTATATACTATTTAACACATGGTACATTAACACATATACAATACATGTTCATCGATATTCAAACATGTTTTTTTGTTCAAGGTATTTCATGGTTTTTCCAGGGATAAAAGCATTGACCCATCTCACCAACCGAACAATGATTGTTCTACGGTGATTTGAAGAGTAGATGACACAAATCCCAAGACATCCCAAGATGCAAATCGCAAGAGGCAGTGAACGTGTAGATCCAAGTCGATTGCATGTATACAACTGTGCTTGTGTATTGCACTTAGTTGGGCCACCAAGACCTTGTATGCATATGCATTTGGGAGAGAATCGTTTGAAAGGCCCACTATATCCAAGCCCAGCTGTTGTATAAAAATCCACCATTATGTGCAACTTGGAGAGCCGGTTTGGGGGGCTCAATGCCCAGATGGTCGATGGTCAGGCTGGTGCTTTTGGACACGGTTTGGGATGGGATGCGCGCTGCAAAACCAAGTGGTGATGGCAGGTAGGTGGCCGCCAAATGGATAGAGAGGGATGCGCTTGTCAAGATACATTCTGAAACTCTTTCTACTTTAGACCACGACTGCCACTCTAGATGTCACTGGCTTTTTGGTTTGTGCAATTTTCTTTGGGATTGACCACTGTACTGCATTCCACATGAAGCTTGGACTCCCCCTCATGGTCCAGAAGAAGTTGATGGCCCCGATTCAAGCGTCACGGAGGAGCTACGCACAGACAAGGTCCAGGGTTATCAGCTCTTTATGGGCCTGCAAAGTACAGGCCGGGTAGGGGGTGGCAGATGTGGTGACGTTCTGGTGCGATGGGGTTCAGCGGACGGCGACACCTTAGCCAAAGGCTAGTCTCCTGGAGAGGGCGATGGAGAGAGAGAGAGAGAGTAGATTTTGAGTGGAAGACTTGATGCTCGGGTTGGAGTGCGAATCTATAGCAAAACCAATTCTGCATTTGAAACTGGATCACCGTGCGTCGCCAATGGTTTTGTATGTGTTTTTGTTCTTGGGCGCTTTCGGCAATTGCACACCTGGAAAGCGAAGAACTTGAAGAAGAAACGATTGAGTCACTGGCCATTGAGACGGTCTCAAAGGTTTCCAGGAAAGCCCATTGGCCATTTCTGGTGCGAAGGAACGGCCGAACAGCCCCAAGGCCCTTTTCAGGCCGGGCGATCCGGGGAACGACGACGCTCCATCCTGGGAACTTCTCCGCACCGAACAGCGGACCTGGCCGACGTTCTTTTTCATCTCTTCCAATATGTGTTTCGCGGAGAAGTTTGAGAAACACCTATTTGCACCTGTTTGCACTTTGCACCTTTTGGATCCTGAATTGTTGGTGCAAATCTCAACTGTTGGCCTTGGCTTCAGTCGAAATGAACTTGCAGAAGCAAAATTTCAGCCTTCTCATTCTCATCTCTCTCTCTTTTTGTTGTGTCATGCATCAAGTCCACCTCCCAGCTTTGCCAACGCTTTTGATGTGGTCTGTGTGCAGCATACATATTTGCATTCGAGGGGCAAAACTCGGATAAACCATGATAAACCACATGGTACTCGTAACATCTCGTAATCCTCGATCCAGCGAAACGTTGTTTCTTCGCTGAACCCACCGACCAACCCAGACACCGGTCTCGACCGAGGTGACGACGAGCGACTGGACATCCTGACGGAAGTGGGAGCGACACTTGGGAGTTTATGTCGCTCACCGACCGCGGCGCGGTGACAGCGAAACACCGAAAGCAAACACGCCCAACACCACCGCGGTCCTTGGACTAGTGGACTTGGTCCAAGTGATTAGGGCTGGAGAACGTAGGAGAATGTGAAAGGTTCAAAGAGAAGACCAGTTGAGCACAAGACCAGCTGGCTCTAGGGGTCAGAAGTTGGAAATCAGGCCATGAACATCTGTGAGTGAGTTTATGGAGTACGTCCTCCATAGACATACTCCATTAAACGCATATTTACTCCATAGGATTCCATAGGTGCATAGACCGTAACTCCATATACTTCATGGATGAAGAGTTTCCTTCGAACCTGGCTGACCTGTGATGCATTGGACACGCACAAAAAGACATGGTGATTGGCGGGCGGTCCAGGTTGGCCTGTTCATTGGGCCGGAACTTCATCCGCTCGAAAAAACAGTGCTTAGTGGAGGAAGATTCACAAGGTCACCACCAAAATACCGGGAACTTTAGGATCATAAGGATCATCAGGCTACTGGTGGCAATCAACAGCACTATGGGCTTTCTAGTCAATTGTGTGGGTCTGGCTTGTTGGTGCGAGCGAACGCTTTGACCGCCTGGGTCGGCGCTTCTTGGGCCGGGTCGCCCGACTCCGAGGATCAAACTCTTTCAGAACGCCAGGGCCTTCTATCGCTTCCTTTGGGGCTGCGGTGGGCCCTTCGACTCCGAAGCAGGCCCGGGGGAGCCGGGAGCAGGGAGCATGTTCGGCACGGCCGAGGAGCGGGGAGCGGACGGCACGCTTCAGTGCTGTGCGGACTGCGCATACGCCTTTTCAGTTAAAGAGATGAATTGACACGGATGAATGATTGGCCCAAAGAACCACTGATCTCCATCCGGTATTCATTGCTGTTATTCAGTTGTCTCAAGTTGGACACTGTTTTAAACCTCTCTCACATGAATGGATGCAGCAAATGCATGCAAATGCGATACTCAGATACTCATGAAACATACAGTAGTTGTTTTTGTGGATGTGGATTACAGATGATTACAGTACGTTAAACCAAAGTAGCCGCGGACCCCCAATAACTGACTCTCAGAAACGGCAGGCAGCACATCCACCTGTTGCCTTTGTTAATCACAACTCGCAACTCCTGGGAGCAGCTCCCTCGGCAGGCGGCCCTAGCTGGAACCAGCTGGGTTCCTCCCTAGGCGTCACGCAGACCAGGCTCCCGCCCACGCAGCAAGGTGCGCTGGCACTGGCAGGGGTGAAAGATAGTGAAAGCAAGAAGGGTGGATTGATAGAAACTGGATGTGGTATGATGTGGGTGGCATTGGCTGGTTCTTGCAGGAACTTGGGGGAGAAGCAAAGAGCAGAAGCTTTTTGCAGCCCATGTCACCGTATTTTTGGAATGAGCTGTCCAAGGGGATGGGTGGTTGGGGAGGAATGGGAAACCACCTTGGAAGCTTTTTACTTACACTTGGAGAGACAACGCTTCCTTTGTTGCTAAGTGAGCCACTTCGCGTTGTACCATATCACATGCACCATCTACTGCTTGACCTTGTGTCAGCAAGCACACCCCCTGTCTGACCTGTTGGCTCAGGTTCACATGACGGCGTGTATTACCATGAGGAGTTGTTCAATATGTTCCATGAAACATACATTTAACAAACAAACAAACAAATACGTGGCTGGTAGTTTCGCATGCGCAGTTAGCAAGCATCGCATAATAATATAAAACCAATGATGTTTCCTTGAAGGACGGATATAGTGTGTGTATATATATATATATACACAACATGTATACATACCAACATCAATGTTTAATGGAATGTGCAGATGTCATCGAAGTCATCCAATGCGTTTTGTTATTATATAATATATATATATATATGTATATGTATATAAGTGTTTACTTTCCCTGGGGATCTATGTACCCCCTTACTGTGGAAGCTGTTTGGAGCGCCCCGAACGCGCCGACATCACGGTTCAGAGGGATATGTGGATCCATAGGGTTTGGTGAAACGAATTCCATACATCCTGGGTCTCATCGACTGACGAATCGGGGGGGAGGTCGGCTGACCATCGGCTGGCGCACTGGGCTCTTCGATGTGGGGCTCGAAGGCTGTTGATCGACCGGCACACCGGAGGGCAGAAAGTGTGGGCATGGTCCCAAAATTCGAGGCACAGCAGACCAGCCAGGCGCAAACGACAATCAACTCCTTCCAGTGAGGTGTTTGGATTAAGGTAGTTTTTGTTCACCCACACATTAACGCGTTATAGCTTAAGACTACGATTACTTAGGGTTCCTTAGGACCCCCAAAACCCGTGTTCATTGGTTTTCTTATATTTCCTACCTCCCACTGCTTGTGGGGCTTGGCTCAGTTTCAGGATCAGAACAGATCAGGAGTCACAAGTGAGTTGTTTGCCAGGTCCAGCAGTTCTCGCATAATCATAATGAATGTAGAATATTGATTAAAATAACCCCCAACCACAACACCCTGATATCGACGGGATTTCTCTATAAGCAACACCACGTATAGTGATATATGTAATTGGTTGGCTCTATTTTTAGTGTTTAATTCGTCCGAAGCAGGTCCTCCTGAAATGTTTGAAATGTTATATAAGTTCATTTTTTCGAGACAACCCAGGTTGCCTCTTTCCCCTTCATTCAATTACAGATCTCACATTAGTGGTGTATTGGCTTCGCCAGTTTGGGGAGCCGATGAATCACCGGTGAAGCTCACCACCCGCCAGGTGGCAAGGTCCTTCCGCCCATGATGACCCGGCGAAAGGCGCAGAAGAAGAAGCGAGGAGCGCAGCTTTTCCCGAGCTCAGAGAGATGAAACCTCCGGTTTAGAGCTGGCCCCCTGATATTTCTGGGCTTTGAAGGCAAAGGAAGTACTTACAGTACTTAGATGGCACGAATGGCATAGGCATAGTTAATTGGCACTTGTGGTGACGAACAGTTATCATTCCTCCATCGTCAAACAGACAAGGAGACTATGTCCTATACTGTATATACTGTATAGTCCTCACCAGGAGTCGAGCCTGGGATGTCGCGGCCACAACGTGACGTCCTTCAAGAAGATTTTGTTGTGCCAGTGTGTGTTAAAAGTTACCGTTGTTGTGTTGGAAACACCAACCCACAACAACTCATGGACCATTTAACGCGGGACAACCCGCGGAACCAGGACTGCGTGACAACTTGTTGGACTCATCGCCGTTCATCGCCTACTCCATGGACTTGCCACGGAGCACTCAGGTGAGGGAGAGACATCATCAGTGGAGAAATTATGTGGAAGAGAGATGAAAAGAGGGCCAGCTTTAGGATAAATCTTTTCTGGAAAGGTCATCATCTCTCAATCAACAAACAGGTACAAGGAAGACGGCACCCAATTGGAATCCACGGTGAGACATGAAGCTAAGGCCTGGACATGCTGGTTGCTCTTGTTGCGGAGTTCTTAAGAGTCTTGAACGCCCTCAAAGAGGTTGAGCAAGTGTCAAACCTCCATCAAGACATAAAGGGCAAGCCAAAGGGTTGCCCACAGAGAGAGAGAGAGGAGACAGTTTTCAGCTCACCAAGCATCACACAAAGCAGAAGGAAAGGCAATGTCTTGTTGAGGGGGGCCAGACAAATCCAAAATATGCTTGTGTGTGTGTTGTCCATTGCTGGTGGCTATCCTGACGAATCGGAAGAAAAGCAGTCTTAAAGCATGGGGGATTCAATCCCTATTTCAAGGACATATATTTAAAAGCTACGGGACTGGAACCCTTTTGGTGGTAGGGGAAGACCACTGGAAAGCCCCCCCTATTGAAAGGGTGCATATGGTTTGAAAACAAGAGAGGAAACCCGTGGTCCACACTGGTGGCAAAACCGGCTCACGCCCATCGGCCCATCATCCAAAAACCATCCAAAAACCGCACTAACGGTCCGCGTAGATTTGATGAAAAGCGGCGGTTACCCGCTAGGTGACCTGGACCCTCGTGCCGGAACACGGTGTTCTGGAACATGCGCTGCAGTGGCGGAGCCAGCGGGATCCCACTGGTGGCAAGGCCAGATCCCACCGGTGCGGTGGATGGATCTTCGGTGCGTTTCGTGGAGTTCGGAAGCACCACAAATAGATCGCAGTTCACATCACGGGCTGAGGGAGGGAGCCATCTCCCTTCAGGGTACCTACTTTCAAGGGATTCAGACCCAGCATCGGTTGCCAGTGATCAGTCAACCCATGTGAACCCAGCGTCCTCGCTGTGCGTCCTCGATGTATGGTCCTCGCCGTCAGACGTTGGTGACCATGGTCCTGGAGCAGTCCTTGCACTCACGAGACGCACGTCTCCGGATTGGCACATGCTATGAGCGGAAGTGAGCCACTGAACTCCCGCGTCTCCAGGCCAAGTGAACCTGGCACTCTTCATTCGATGTGGGTAATTCTACTGGTCATTGACATGAGAGGGGTGATCATGGAACTGCTCCCAGGGCACCAGATTGAATCTATGGCCGTTTCTGGGGTGGGAGTTTCAGCGGCTCGTTGGACATTGGAAGGGGCCAATTTTTAGTGCTACAGATGAAATTGGGGCCAGCATCCGCATAGCGTGAGCTCAGTGATGCACATGAAGAGAAGCAGAGATGCATGATGCGCACGGAGCTTCAAAGCGTTCAATAGGCTCAGCAGACTGAATCTGCAGAGTCTCCTTGATTGCGAACTTTGAACGTTGAGCTTCCCTTCTCATTGCAGTTTCCCAACCCCAATGACTCTCAAACCTCTCACAACCATAACCACCATGTCACCTGCCACAAAAGGGATTTTGTGTACAAGGAGTGAAGCTGCCAATTCATCTCATCAGTGCAGATCACACTGCTGAAGTTCGCAGCAGCACAGCCGGAAGCCTGATAAAAGCTTCTGTTCGGGCATTACGGTGGACAATGTTCACATAGGAATGCCAGGCCAGGTCGTCCATTTCGATAATGCCAGGCCACATAGTGGAAATGGATCAGTGCTACAGTTGAATTGGAGCCACGATCCGCATAGCGTGACTGCACATGAAGAGGAGCAGAGAGGCATGATGCGCACGGAGCTTCAGAGCGTTCAATAGGCTTGGCTGACTGAGTCAGGAGAGTCTCCTTGATTGCGAACTTTGAACGTTGAGCTTCCGTTCTCATTCGGTTTCTACCAAAGTATATATAACTATATTATATATATATATAAGTATCAAACTACGTTATCTCAATCGGATCAAGACACCAAGAATCAACACCGAATTGTAGCTGCCACAGCTGTTGTGACTAGCTGCTATTCTGATTGAAGTTTCAGTTTTTGAGGGTAGCACCTAGCATTATTGACCATGCTTGGCCGACCGTATATACTGCTATATATATAGTTGATTTGGAGATTTGGGAGTTGTGTATATATTGTGCTCACGTATGTGTATACTGTTACTATATCTTTAATGACTAATCATATATAAAAGAATTTTATTATATATATTTTTTTATCGGTACCATAGTTATACTGTAATGATATTAATATTTATACGTTTAATACATATATATGCAGTACTTTGGCCAAATCTCAGGAGCTGCCGCCAGGGAGTTCTTAACAAACATGATTCCTCATAGATCACGATCCTGGAGACACAGCTGCAGAAGCTGCTTCCACGGTCCTGTGGAATGTACATACATCGAACTCGTCAGGGTTGCTCCGAAGACGCTTTGAATCTGAAGTTGGTACAGATCCTGCTGACAAAAGTGGACAATTCCTGCTGACGTTTGGATGGAACTCTCCCAATTCCTTTTTTCAGCCCCTCCCCCCCTTCAATTCTACAAGCTCATGCTGTACAGGCTCTTTTTCTTTATTCCGAAGATGCTGTAATCCTGCAAAAAAACTCAGAACTGGGCCTGGGCTGTCCAATTGGCTTCCCTTAATCCCTTTCATGATTTGGGAAAGTCCACCCTCGAACCTCGCATTGGCGAAGTGCAGCCCATGAAAACCATGTGCCTCACCAGAAGGACCAGAGGAAAACACACCAGTTCGCCTCCTTTGGCGCCCTGCCACCAGAGATCCCGGAAGCGGATCACAGGATCGAGCGACGGACTGGAGACATCGAGCGACTGTTGTGATCGGCAGTCGCTGGCGAACATGCATCGCTGGCGGCTCGCCTCCAAGGCTCACTCACTCGTCCCGAAAACATCGCCTTTGCGGGGGGGCTGACCCTCCAGACGCTTCGCAAGTAAGGCCACTCCGACTCTGCGGTTGCACTGCGTGCTGGGTCCGTGGGTGCGTCGCTGGCCTGGAAGTACCGACCACGTGGCGACGCGTCCGCACTGAACAAGTGGAGAATGACTGCAGGAGCCTTCGGAGCTTCCTATCATCCTGATGGCGAGTTTGTCCTGCCCACCCGGAGGACAGCCTATCCCACGCAAATCCCAACTGCCCAGTGAAATGTGGGCACGATTGGCGGGAGAGTTCCCGAAGGGATTTGACACTATAGTTGACGAATATTGGATGACGGGTTCTCGGTAGCGAAGGACGGAAATGCGTGGTCTCTCTATGGATGCCTAGAATTGCATGCAGCTGTTTGGGCCGGGTGTATTCTGGTAGACCATTTGTCGAGGCCTATCCAAGCAGGGAGGCTCGCAACTAGCACAATACACAACGATAAGTTCAAGTTTCCCTAAAAATCTAGGAGCCAGATGAATAGTGCGGGAGCTATCCTGCGTCCAGCTTAAGCTACTTACTAACTACCTACCTACCTACCTATCTAGCTACTTCCTACCGCACCTCTAGCGGCCTACCCCCCCCTCAAAAACAAACTTGTATGTAATTTCTTTATCCTGATCTCTCCTGTGAGAAGAATCACACCTAAGGCTTAGAGAAGATCAGGTCGTGCATCAGACTTTGCGAGAGCAAGCGCCCATGGGCACATGGGCGGATAAGAACCTAGATCGTCTCACAACAAGGTGCAAGCAGAACTACACTGGTAGGAGACCAGGTCCAGGGGCTGCTGAGTGAAAAGACTAGATTCAAGATGAGATCTCTTACTGATTGTTTTTGGCTCCAGTGACAGTACCCAAAGCCCCAGACAAAGATTCGGCTGCTTATAGCTGTCCAGTGCTTTTTGCCATGCGCGTCCTTGCCTTGCTCGCACTCCTTGCCCCAGTCTCCGCCTTCGTGGCACCCGCGAGTGCTCGTCCCGAAGTTCAGAGTGAGCTGGCCCGTCCTTTGGCAAGCTATGCACCTGAACCCTGGTTGAAGCAATTTGCACAAGGTTTATCATGCTTTCTTGAGCCAGTGACTCCATGAACTGGCTAGGGACTACAGGCCGGCATCCATCACCGACGTTATTTCGTGCCACTTAAAGGGGGTTGGTACTACTGCTTTGTTCCATGTGTATAGTCACCGTTTCAGGAAACCGCTGAGACTACCTCCCCGTGGACCTC